ATGAAAAAGTACTCATCACTAGATTTGGTTTTTGGGGAGGCACAATCAGGTGTCTACACTTTCTTACCAGAAGATTAAGAAACAATATGTGTAGACATGAGAATTTAACTAAAATATTTTTTGCCTTATATTTGTTGGTCTACATTTGCCGCATAAAAGGTTTTATTGACTAAAATAAATAAATAAATAAATAATAAAACTTCAAGTCACTTTGTTTGTTACGTACGTATTCCATAGTGAATTAGTAATTGACAAGCAAATTACCTAATTATGATAAAAATCTCACCAATTTAATAAATTTGAGCAATTATTAATTACTCGTCAATCAAAGTAAGTCAAAGCTACAAGATAAATACTACAATAGTACTATCAACTTTTGCCAATTTGTTTTCGGAAAAACAAAAAACAAAACAGTAGCCTCTTTTATCGTCTTACAATATAAAGGTATTTCAATTTTAATTGAATATCATTTTCATCACAATGTTACAAATAATATATAAATGACGGAAAGAATATTTATTCAAATTTCCTAATAATAATAATAATAATAATAATAATAATAATAATTATAATCCCCAATATGAGTTGTTACTACTTCGTGCGTGTAATGGGATTTCAAAACTCTACTTTTCTATACGCACTTGTCCTCCTCATCTTTTTGAAGCGGCCCAGATTTCTTTTGATGTGGCCCTTCGAGCTTCTTTGGAGCGCATTGTAACTGCTTCGGGGCCAGGTTTTGGTGATTGCAATGGTTACTTGCCAACTTACCTTTTTCGTATGGTGGATTGGGTGTTTATTCAGCGGGTGATGTTCGGCACTATTCTTTCCTTACGTCGCGTTTGCAGTCTTCTGGTCTTCAGGCTACTCTTCTTCGCAATTCTGGTATTGTTGATCCAGGACCGACCTTCGATGGTGCTCTTAGTCTTTTTAATAGGACAGTGGAGACTGACCTTATGCGTAACCCTAGTGAGATCACTGCCCCCAAACTCATGAACAAATTGGCAGATATATATTTCATGAAGGTCACTGCATTTGTAGAATGCACTTTCTCCTTATCTCCGCATCAGGTTGCCTTATGGAAGTCCAAGCAGGGGGATCACACTTCTACCTGGTTGCGAGCAGTCCCAATATCAGGTTTGGGTCAGACTATGAATGGTAAGACTTACCGTTGTGTTCTTTGCTACCGGTTGGATGTTCCCTTGTTCTCCGTTTCGACACTGTGTTCTACTTGCTCAAGGGTTTTTGATAGGGATATTTATGGGGATCATGTTGTGTCTTGTGTTGGGATGGTGGGTATTAAACATCGGCACAACGTTGTTCGTGATACCCTTGTTGATATTTGTTTTCGATCTGGGATTTCTGCAAGAAAGGAGGTTAGGTTAACCGGAGGGAACGACGGGGCTCTTCGACCAGCAGATGTGTTGCTTTATTCCTGGGATAGAAGCCTTGATGTATGTGTTGACTTGACGGGGTCTTCTCCTTTGACACAATCTGGGTTGTCTGACTTCGTTACTGGTCGTGTTGTGTCGACTGCGGCTCAGCGGAAGCGAGACAAGTATGGGGCGCGTTGCAGGGCTATTAGCTATGGTTTTCTTCCTTTCTCCTTTTCTTCATTGGGGGAATTAGAGAAGGATGTTGTTGTGTTGCTGAAGCGGGTTTAGGCGTTCGCTAGGACTCAAGATATTGGTGCTCGTGCAATTGTTCACATCTTCAACAGGATCGAGTTCGCTATAGCTAGAGGGGTGGGGTCCCAGATTGTATCTCGTCTCCCCACTAATTTCTTGTAAATCGATTGACTTTGTAGGTTTTTGTTATAATAATAATAATAATAATCTAATATATATAAATAAAGTAGGCATTTTTCGAGAGCATTTGTCGCGCCACATAAGCAAAGGTATTATTTTGACCAATCAAAAGTTAGATTTGTATTTTATTTTAGAATTAATAAATTCACTCGCCACCTAAGAAAAAGTGACAAATGAAATTTAAGAATTTTGCCACGTAATTTTTCGAGAGCATTCAGCTAGCCACATAAGCAAAGGTATTATTTCGACCAATCAAAAGTTAGATTTGTATTTTATTTTAGAAATAATAAATTCACTCGCCACCTAAGAAAAAGTGACGAATGAGATTTAAGAATTTTGCCACGTAGTTAAAACAACGAATAGTGATTTATTAGGATTTAATTTATTTAAAAAACTAAAAATTATTTTTAAAAAATCATCTTTAGATATAGGATTTATATATCTAAGATAAATCTTGATAGTGTTATTCCTTAATAAAAAAATAAATTAAAATTTGTGATGCATACCACTATAAATTGACGCATCCTACAACACCGACAAAATTTCGTATCAATACAAAACCAAATCAAGCGAATTTTGTGTCAGTTTTAGTCATCAATGGCTGAGTAATTTTTAGCTTAATTTTTAAAATCCATGTTTACATGTATATTTGTGATTATTGCTTACATTGTGTTTAATTGGAATACTTAACGATTATATGTTTATGTTTTGTTTACTAAATTTTGTTTTTACACGCACATCTGATTTAATCAGAGAATTAGATTGGAGCAAAAATGATTGGAAAATCGAAGTACAAGTTTCTCGCCTGATGGTCCTATTGGATGAGAAGGTATTATATCTTTATAAATTGTTTACATTTATTAAATTTTGTTATAAACCTTTGTAGTTTATATTAATTAATTTTATGATTAGAACAAATTTTTGTGATTTAGGTAGCTTAATCAAGTCATCAAATTAACTTAATTTTGATTAAGTTCATACCTCAATTAGCCAACTTTGTACAATTCGTCCAAAATTAATTGAAAGAAAAGTTTACTCAATTAAATACTTTTCATTCATTACAAATAAGAAGCAATATTGCACGCATTGTCAGTGACAACAAAATAATGATTCAATTTTCCAAAATACTATTGTTCGGGCGATTAGGGACGATGAAAAAATTCCAATGCATAGATTTGATTTTGTACAATTACAATTTTTAGATCAATTTCACAACAATTTTTCACTTCGCGGTAAATATATTGATTTATTTTATAAGACTATAACGGTTAATTTTATATAAATTTTTTTTTGCTAACATGTTTTATTTATCCACTTTTATTAGATGGAAGAGATATGGGTGTGAAAGAAGTAGGTGATTCTATTGAAATAGAAGATAAATAGTATACATGTTTTTATTATTTTTTTATTATTTCTATTTTTTAAAAAACAACTAATAATGATTTAGGATTTAAATTATTCAAAAAATGAAAAAAAAATTATCTTTTCACATTAAAGATTTTAACCTAATATGTAATCGATAAAATATCATATTTACAATTTTTTTTTTAGATATTATATTTACAATTTATTCATATTATTAAATTCAGTTGTCATATAACTAACAACAACGAATAAAATACAAAACAACAATAAATAAAGTCGCATAATAAATTACATTAAAAAAAATTATACTTTTGTAATAGGCAATAAAACTTTAATTAAATTATTATGTGTTTTTTCGTCTAAAATTATTACATAGTAAAATAAATCAAATAATTATATATATATATATAAATTTAGAGTCTATAGGAAGATATCTTTTGTTGAGATTTATGTATGAAAAAAAACCGTGCATTTCCACCTAGATAAAAGTAACGAATTAGATTTGATATATCTGAAATTTTAATGTCACGAAGATTATAATCCACGAATTAAATTATTTTAATGAAAAAAAATAAAGTAAAAATATAGGAAAAGATAAATTTATTAATGCAATACTACGAGTATAAGAATTCCAAAAAATATATACTAAAAAATATTTAAATGATAAACGCTTATAATAAAGTTTGAAACCTATCATATAAGATAAATTTTGATAGTATTTATGATAAGAAATACAAATTTTTCGTTAATTATAATTAAATTAAAATTTGTGATACTTACCATTATAAATTGACAGATCATACGACACAAACAAAATTTTGTATCAATAAAAAAAACCCCATCAACCGAATTTTGGGTTAGTAATTTTGTGTTAATTTTTGGTCATTAATGGTCGGGTAATTTTTAGCTTAATTTTTAATATCCTATGTTTAAATTAGTATTTCTAATTATTACTTACATTATATTAATTTGGGATACTCAACGATTATATGTTTATGTTTTATTTATTAAATGTTTTTTTACATGCAGATCTAACACATCATACGACACAAATAAAGTTTCATATCAATACAATACCCCATCAAGCGAATTTTGTGTTAGTTTTAGGTCACCAATGTCCGGGTAATTTTTAAAATTTATGTTTAAATTTATATTTGTTATTATTAGTTACATTGTATTTATTTAGGATACTTAACAATTATTTGTTTATGTAATGACATACGATTAGATGTTATATACTTAATAAATGGATGGCTTTGGTTATTTTTAGAGATGATGAAAAAATTCTAATGCATAGATTTGATTTTATATCACAACAATTTTTCATTTATTGGTAAATATATTGATTTATTTTATATCAATTTCAGTTTGGCTAACATTTTTATCCATTGATGTAGTAGGTTGGTTGTGGACGAGGTTGGTGATTCTATCGAAATAAAAGATATGGTAAAACAATGAATAATGATTTAAAATTTAAATTATTAAAAATTTATCATTTCACATTAAAGATTTTATATAATGGAAAAAATATCATATTTACAATTTATTTATATTTAATAAATTCATTATAAATTATAGTAAAAAAAAATATTAAACTTTTGTTTTCTGAAATTATTAAATACAATAAATCAAATAATTAAAAAATAGATGAAAAAATCGTGCATCGCACGGGCTTCCATCTAATAATAATAATAATAATAATAATAATAATAATAATAATAATAATAATAATAATAATAATAATAATAATAATAATAATAATAATAATAATTATAATAATAATAATAATAATAATAATAATAATAAAACATGAATTAACAAATGAAAGTATTTAGAAATTACATAATCATCTCTAATTGTTTGTAAAAACTATTTCTATTCTTTTCAAAAAAAAAAAAAAAAAGCTATTTCTATTCTAATTACTATGAAGACAAGCCTTGAAGATCAAGCTATCTTCATTAAGGAGCATACCAATAGGCATGTCACCAATACCTCGAACCAATGCTAGCATGATTTCTTTTGCCATCAAACGAAAGGTCTCGAGACCAATCGAAGTACTTCCATCGAAGATCAAATCGTAAGCTTCTTTAATGTCTTCGTCCGAATAAGCTTCGTCATCTATTGCTAAAACCCATTGTCCAAGCCCTCCCTTGGGAAGATCATTGCGGGAAATAAGTCCATCACTATCGACATCGAGTTCCTTGAATTTTTCATCGGTGCATTTGTAAAAAGCCTCAGTGTCTTCGACAAATTTGTTGATCATTGAACCATCTATAATCATCATCATCTTTGTACCAAATTGTCGAATAATATACCTGAAAAAAGTAAAACAAGGTTTAAATACTAGATCTACTATTTCGTTGCACCAAATAAACTATTAAATAAGTACTAGTCAATCAAATTGTTGATAAGCATATAGGGAAAATAGGGACTATATTAAATTTGTAAAGCCTTGACATTTTAATTTTTTATGGAGTATAAATAAAATCATATGAACCAAGGAACAATAATTAAACAACAATAATAATAATTTTTTTTTTAAAAAGAAACTTTTGCCTATTATTACCTTCAATACATTATCTTTAGAATTTTATTAATAAATAAAGAACCAAAGATAACAAAATTTGGTTTAATAAAGAACACCCTTCAAAAATCAATAAACCGAAAATAAAGAAATTGTTCTTATATAATCATAAAGATAAAAAAGTAGTTTAAAGCAATTAATACAACTTCATATTATTAACTGCAAATTGCTTACACATTAGTACATTCATGTCATTCAAGGTCATTGCAATGCTATTGAGACAAGAAGATATTGATTCGTAATGATTAAAAATAGAGTAATTTTGAAAGAATTAAAAGCTCTCTATCTTGCGAACATTGCATACAGTGGCGGATTCAGGATTTTATAGATAGTAGGTCACCAGTTCACCAAGCATCGTCCATCAATGACATACGAAGTATCAATCAATAAAAATGCATTGTTTACAAAAATAAAATCCAATACTTCACAAAGTCTCATTCTCTAAAAGTAATAAATATTACCACTTTCATTCCTTTTTAATTAAACAATTTATCAAAAATGAGCAAAATAAAATAAAATTATTGGGTGCACTTCGAATCCGGCTCTAAACTTGGAGATAAAGTTGGAATTATTATGTACCTTTTTTTTTATGAAAGATATTTTTGGACCATTTGAGTGTACTTTGCATTCAGATGTATATAAGAATCAAACTTTTCAATGTGATATTATGAAAAATTAGATTTGAAGTTGGAATTATTATATACGGTTTTTTATAAAAAAAGAAAATAAATAAATAAAGGGTAACGCCTAATAATACACAGTACACAACGAAAAAATAATAAGGAATTGAGGAAAACATAGTGCAAAAAAATTGATTAAATTATCTAATTTTGTCAAACTAATTATTAATTCATAATTAAATAATCTAGTTTATAATTAAACTATATGTTTATTGATAATACTTAATCTTAGATTTTCATCATGTTTTTTCATAAATAAATTATAACTTTAATTATTATTATTTTTTTTTAAATAATGGTGGCCTGGGTCATGTGACCCACCATGCTCTAACATACATCCGCCAATGATTGCATACTCCATATATGAAAACAAAAAATAAATTAGAAACAGCACAATATTTAATTAAAGGACCCGGCATTGGTTTATTGAAAAGAAAGAAAACAAGCTCAAATAAATATGAACGAATTGTTTTTGAAAAATACTTCATAAGAATCAATGATCATATAAGAAGTACAAGATTTTACGCATAAATTCATAAGACAATATTTAGCAATTTCATGTACACCATAGTATAATGTAAGAATTATTTGAATAAGAAAATATATGTAGCAAAATATTGTCGAATCGATTACCTCTAAAACAAAATTATCGCAGTCAAGAGATGAGCAAGAGAATTAAATTAGCTGATTTTTGAAAGAGTAGATGTGTATTGAAACAATGAAACATACGAGCACTATTAGGGGCCGTTTGGTTGGGGTTAATAATCAAAGGGAATCGGAATGAACTGATATCATTCCCTTTGTTGTTGTTTGTTTGACACTTTTTTGATTCCCTTTACCCATTTTTATTTTTGAGTTCACCCATTTTTAGTCTACATTGATTCCCCACCCCCCAGACTTTCCCATTCCCTTTCCCTAGCCACCATACCCACCACCATTGTACTTGCCGGAACTAGCCCAACCACCTCGCCACGGACCTAGTCCCCACCGCCGGACTCGCCGCACTTCCCCCACAACTCGCCGGAGCCCGCGCACCTCCCCCACCTCTCCCCTCGAAAACACCTCCCCTCCCCGGAAAAACTTCCACCACCAAGCAAAAACCCTAGAAAACACCATCCCTCCCCTTAAAAACGCCGGTCGACCTTCCCCCCACCCTCGAAACCTTAGCCGCTAGGGTTTCGAGGGTGGAGGGAAGGTCGGCCGGCGTTTTTAAGGGGAGGGATGGTGTTTTCTAGGGTTTTTGCGTGGTGGTGGAAGTTTTTTCCGGGGAGGTTAGGGGCTGCGAGGGGTGGGGGAGGTGCGCCCAGGGCTGCCGATTTCCGTCGACGTTGTGGCTGGGCGATGGGGTGGCTCCTGGTGGCTGGAAAAGTGAAGAAAGGGGATGTGTGGTGGTGATGGTGATTCCCTTTGTTTATTGAAAACCAAACAACACAGTACTTGGAAAGGGTTTCATTCCATTCTCCTACATTCCCTTTGTTCATTCCATTCCGATTCCCCCGCGCGAACCAAACGGCCCCTTAGAGTATTAGGTGTGTATATATAGGCTTTTGTTAATTAGATAGTTTCCTAATTTTATAATTAAGACATAAGATTTTGTATCTAATTATAATTCTTATTTGCAAGAAACAAATATTGGATTTCTTGATGCCAAAGGAAGGGAAAAAAATACTACCTCCATTCCTAAATAAAATAACTTTGACCACATGTTATGATTTATACAATAGAAATAAATTAACATGAGGGATCATTTTAGACTCCTCTTATTATAAATTTTTCAAATATCAACTTTTTATAATTTTCACTTATAAATAGCTGAATCGAACTTTCAGAAACGGAGGGAGAATGATGTATAGTTTTAACATATGATAAGATTTTCTAAACTAAACCGACACAAATATTACTCGTTTTTAACAAAATCCATCTTAGGCCCAAAATGTGGTGTTATATTTAGTCGAGCCCGTACAAAATCCTTTTATTGCCCAATATGATAAATAGCCCAACATCAAACAATGTTTATTAGTCTAGCCCACATACAAAAAGCAGCTACTTTGTAGTCCGAGATACTTGTATATATTTATGGAGTTTTTGTTAGTGTCCGATCAATGCTTAAATTTTTAAATTATTACTTAATTATATTATATTTGTAAATAAGTCTAACATTGATTAGTTATCAATTTGTTAAATAAAAAATAAAAAAATAAAAAAAAAGCCTTTTTAAGATATACTTACTCTGTTTCATATTAGATGACACGTTTACCAATTAATACTTTATAATTCAAATATTCTTGATTATATATTGGCAAAAATTATAAAATTTGATATTTAAAAAATAGGTGTTGAGAAAAATCTAACAAGACCCCATATGACTATATTTTTTCTCATTACCAAATCACAAAACGAAGTCAAAGCAAATTATGTGAATAATGCACAAAGTCAAACCGTGTCATCTAATTTGAAACAGAGGAAATAATTACTTTAAATTGACGGAGACTATAATGTTGTCATAAATATATATATTTTTTTTGAAATATAAAATAGATGTATATTTTTATGATGAATTAAAATTAATAATAAAAATGTGAGTTTAGGAGAAAAAATTCGTATAGGTATAGACATAGATTTTTGACAAAATTGTTGGCTAAATTAGAAAATTTCTTAAAATCTTCAGGAGTAATTATCAAATTTAATAGTCCAAGTTAGGTTCTTTGTTGTTCCAAAGTTGGACTGAAGTACGGAATATTGAATTCTTATGTAGACCGTACCAAACGAGACATGTTTGGTGTTTGGGTTTGGAATTTGGATTAGTCTTCATTTTATTTATTTTTTTATTTTTTTTTTGAAAGAAGGATTAGTCTTCATTTACCTATACTTTTCTTTTCTCATTTTCTCATTTTAAGTACATATGATTTTTGAACTGCAAATTTGTAAATGCAAATTGGATTTAATTTAAATGCAAAATTTTAGATTATGAAGGCTTATTCATTTACACTTCCACGTATTTAATCTTTTGGGATTAATTTTTGGTTATAGTTGGCAAAATGCCAACAAAAGAGTTTAACAGAAATAGAATCTCAAAGATTCAAACTTACCAAGTAAATATATATAGCCGAGTATGAAAAATTAATGATTATTATTAGTATAAGGAAATAGAAGTTATCCCCCAAAGAAAGAAAGTAACAAGTTGCACTTAAAATTTCAAAATATGAGCTGAATTTCACAAAGACAACCATTACTCAAGGCGAAAAAAATAAGTGATAAAGTCGAAAATTTGATGAGATTAGTAGATAATAAAGGCGTCTTTTTGGGCTCCAAACATTTTACGTGACTTTAAACTATCCAAAGCATTAGCAAAAACCTTAATTAGTTACTTTTCTTTTTCCCTTCCATGAAAAGAACCTTAAAATGTTGGCATGTTACGTGTAGTTAGTAAATTGAAAAAAGAATATAAGAAGACAATATACATGTTCCATGATATTTCCAATTAAATGACTACCATATAATGTTGCTTAAACTTGTCAAAAGAAAAGGAAAAAAAAGAAAAAAGATGGTTGGTTAAATAAATAAAATCGTGAAAGTTTAGTTAGAAAAGAAATTTCATGAATTTGGTGAGATATTGTGTAATGTACGGGGCCGTACGCAAGCATTGAATATTACTAATAACATCTTTAAGTACATAATTAATTATGATCAGGTCCTCTAATGTACAACCCGCACGCAAGCACCATGATTGTGATGTGTGGAAAAGCCTATTTTCCAGCTAGCTCACAACACTAATTATACATATTTTTAAATAAAATAAATAAATAAATAACTATTTTAATTTTATTTATTGATTTTTTTTATTATTTTTTTTTGAGAAAAAAACTATTTAAATCTAATTACTAGGTGATGTTCTTTTCAACTTCTTAAAATTATGTTATTCTAAATATTATCTTTAATTCATAAAATTAGTTCTAATTTAAATGATTATCGACATGCGATTATATTTCAGTATAATGTAAATTATAAAAAAAAAAAAAAAAAACCTCGTAGTCTTGATCCATTAACAAACATTGGAATTTAACTTCTTTTTTTTACAACAAATTATAACAAAGATGTATGATTTCAAACTTCATCGTATCGAGTTAGATCTCCTTGTCGCAATGACCAAAGATATTGAGTAAAAGGACAATTATTTTATAATATTAGAAAAATCATTCAATTACATAGAATTAAAAAGTAGAGAAAGTCTTTCTTTCAAAAAAAAAAAAAAGTAGAGAAAATCTAATAATATTATGGTTTTACATCAACATCATATATGTGGAGGTATATTATTCATAGCCAAAAATAATTTGATGTTAAAGGACTTGGGCAAAAATGAAATTGACTTTTTCCTCCAAACCAATATTAAAGAGACATACGTGTGCAAGAATATAATTTTCAGTCTTAAAGTGATGTTTAAATGTTTGACTAATGACTAAACATTACTACTTGTATTTTATTTTATTACTCCAATTATCAAAAGAATATGCTACCTAAAATATGAAGATGGACAGAAAAACAGCTTAGAATGTAAAATGACACACTTATTTTGACTAGTGAGTCTTTTACTTTTTTTTTTCCTGAAATAATCGGTGAGAGTCTTTTACTATATTCCTCCTTATTTAAAATTCTTTTTGGCTTCTAGAATGAATAATAGGATGTTTTTTGTCACCCCTAAAAAAGTAAAGAGTGAGAAAATTAAAATAAAAAAATTTGTTCTGATTTGGATTGTTTGAAATCTATTATTGAATCTAGCTAATTTAATTTGAAAATTTTTCGAATTAAAAAATTTAGCTTCTTAAAATAGTATAGTTCAATTTTAATCTTTGTAAGGACACATTGAATAAAGCCTTTTTGCTTACTCTAATATGTTGCTAACGATATTGGTATTATTCTTAAATTAATTGGAAAATTTACAATGACATTAATTTTAAGAAAATTCATTGCGACGGAACTGTCGTCGTTTCAAGAAATTTAAACAAACTTGACAATTTTACAGATCCAACAACACAAATTTCAACATAGCTTTTGATATGGAAACTTTGGACTAGAAGAAAATCAATACAATTTTTTCGATACTTCCTTTTTTTACAAGCTTAGGCATTAGACCATCTCCTTTGGTGAGACTCAATTTTGAGTATTGAAATACAAAATGAGTTGTTTTTACCTCCAATGGTGATACTCAATCCACTTCTCAAATTAGCAACTCATGTGAAGTCTAATTTCCCAATAGTGAGACTCTCTAAAGTATACTAATGTCACTTTCAATTTATGGCCCACCAAATCATATTATAAGTTTTTCAAAAAAAATAAATAAATAAATAAATAAATAAATTACAAATATATTATAATATTAATAAAGGGCCCACACTTTTTGTCAAATGAGACTCAAAGTTGAGTATCTAAACTTAGCAACTTTCTTTTAGAGTTGCTAAGTTTAGATACCAACTTATTGGTATTCTTTGCAAAAAATACCCTTTCTCTCCTAAAAAAACTCCTTAAAGTCTCACCATTGGAGATGGTCTAAAGAACACAACGACAAGGTAGTAAGGAGAAAGATAGGATATATACCAACCTAGCCACCAAATAACACACAAATAACTATCTAGAAGGAAATTACTATAAATTAACTTAGTATGCATGAAGTTAGGGTTTGGAAAGAACCTTAATTAATAGCCACCAAATAACACACAAATAACTATCTCGAAGGAAAGTACTGCAAAAATTAACTGAGTATGCATGAAGTAATTAATTAGGCCAGGGTTTGAAAAGAACCTTAACTCTTTATTGGGGGATGAAAATTTATATTAATATTATTGATTCTCAATACATTTCATACGTAGT